TTGTTTATTTGTTAGAGGCGGAGGTGCTGAAATGTTACATATTGGATTTCTAAGTTGATGATTTGCTGGATGGCTGGTTGGCTGGTTCGTTGATTGGTTAGTTGATCGGTTGGTTAGATGGTTGATTGGTTGGCTGTTTGGTTGATCAGTTGGTTAGATGGTTGATTGATTGGTTGATCGGTCAACTAACCAACCAACCAACCAGCCAACTAACCAAACAACCAACCAACCAACCGACCAACCAACCAACCAACCAACTCACAACCAACCCACACCCAACTAACCATCACAAACACACAACCAACACAAACACAAACACACACACCAACCGATTAGTTATTCATCCATTTATTGGAACAATCAATTTCTTCCTCAGACATCACGCTGGTCATTATCATTGAGTTGTATGTGCGTCGCGTGTTTCCTCTTTGAGACAAAACCTACACCGCTGTTCGATACATTAATACTACGACACATTCACACACACAAACGCACATACACTCACACACACACGTACACTCACTTACACATACACATACAAAGACACACAAACATACACATGCAAACACTCATACACACGCACACATACATACAAACGTAACGATAAAAATATAATTGATTTGAAGCGAGCACCATATGGTGTGTGTGAATTCGTAAAATCATCGTTTAATGGTGAATTAATCAATGTTCGCTGGAATGGAAAAATGAATGAATGAATGAATGAATGAATGAATGAATGAACGAATGAACGAACAAATGAATGAACGAATGAACGAATGAACGAGCAAATGTATGAATTAATGAATGGATGAATGAGTTGTTGAATGATTGAGTGAATGAATGGATCAAGAATGATAGATTAATGGACGGCTGAAGAGAGAAGCGAAAGAATGGTCTAAAAATTGGATAAAAAAATGAATGAATGAATAACTGAATGAGTAGAAGCGTGGATAGATAAACAAATAAATGGATGAATAAATGGATGAATGGATGGATAAGTAAAAGATTGAAAGTTTTAAATGGTTCGTTAATTAGGTAATAAGATAAAAGAGATAAACCACTTTATAGTGGGCAAAATGTATTATAAGTAAATATAAAATTAATTTCAAAGCGAGATACAAAATCTAATAATGAAAAAAATGAATAAAACTATGATTGAAAGATCGAAAAAGTTGCTTAAAAAGGAGAGAGATAGGAGGGGGAGGAGAATTTTTAAAACGATTTAAACCTAAATCCATCCGTGCGTTCCATTGCTATCTCTCTCGTAAATATATCGTTGTTGAATTTGAAAGAAAATTTTATTTTAAAATTATTTTTACTAGAGAAAATTATTTTACAAAATAATTGTTTGATGATAATAATTTAGACTTCTATGTATGTTAAACGTTTCTTTGTGTATCTCTGTGATGTGTGTCTGTGTGTGTTTTTATTTTCTGTTATGTGTATGTTTTTATGTGTGTTTGTGTTATAATGTAATTGGTTGTAAATATTTGAAAGGTGAGGCATTTATTTGTGCGTATTTGTATATATATATATATGTAAGTATGTTGTGAATGTGTGTATGCAGGTTTGTCTCTCTCTCTCTCTCTCTCTCTCTCTCTCTCTCTCTCTCTCTCTGTGTGTGTGTGTGTGTGTGTGTGTGTGTGTGGTTTGCCCTGCACCCAAATTCTAGTCATTGAGTTTACATTTAGTGCTTGGCTTGTTGTACAGGGTGGTGTGTTTGATGAGGGAACATCAAAAGTATAGACTGGTTTGGTATTCCAGTGCATATTTGTGTGCATATGTAGGTACATATTTGTGGTTGGGTTTCTATGTTAATGTGTGTGTGTATTGTATATGCGTGCATATATTGTTGTGTATCTGTGTGTTTATGTGTTTAAGTTTGTTTGTGATTTTTAATTGTTTAAGTTTGTTTGTGTTTTTTAATGTTTTGTCTGTTAGTGTGTTTCTTTCCAAGTTCAATTTTTTCTAAGATCGAATGCTATTCATTTGTCAAGATTTAAATTGGTGAAAAACGTTATTTAATTATTCTTTCATCTATACATTCGTTCGTTCATCCGTTCTGACGTTCGTTTGCTTGTTCTTTCGTTCGTTTGCTTGTTTTTTCGTTCGTTTGTTCGTTTATGTTCCATCCATCTATCTACTAATTTAACACGTTTGTTTATTTAAAGTTATCAGAGATAAAAAAATAATCACCATTCAAATTGACCATAAATAACGCTTTCAACAGACGAAAAGATAAATGGCGCTGATAAGCTAACAACAACATTGTTAAAAGTGAATTATGCCCTGAACAACAATACTAACGCAATAACAACACTAATAATAATAACAACGGTTTTAATACTACTATTTTTACTTCTGCTACTATTACTACTATTTATTACTGCTGCTGCTACTGCTACAACAACAACAACAACAACAACAACAACAAAAGAAATAATAATAATTATTGTTACTATATTCCTGATCATGATTGTTGATAATTCGGCTTTTGCATTAACTTGGTCTTTAGTGTTTATGTAAGTAGTAGTACCGTGGTTTACATCATCATCGTCGTCGTTGTCATCATCGTCATCACCATCATTACCATCATCATTATCATCGTCGTCATCATCACCACCATCCTCACCATCATCATCATTACCATCGCCGTCATCATGCAGTTATGAACTGAGCAAACCGCCATAAATTCTGGCTAATCGTTAAACGTTAAAGCGCGTCTTTTGCTGGCTGGCTCTGAATAAAAGGAGGTTTAATAACTTATACAGAGTCCGACGATGATGATGCTGGTTGGAGATAAAAATGATGATGATGATAGTAATGATAACATCGATGATGATAATGATGACATGAACTCTCTCTCAATCCTCTCTCTCTCTCTCTCTCTCCCTCACTCTCCTTTTTTACCTACGATGATATAATGATAAAAATGATGATGATGACAATGACTCATCAATAGACTCACTTCTGCCAACTCCTAATCAACCATTTAACACTGACTCACTTTATATTTTGGCAGAGTCTGACTGTGAACGAACTCTAATTATTTATTGATACTCCTATTATTTATTATTTCTAGATCACAAAGTTAAATCGAGATATCTTTCTTTCGTTTAGGTTTATGTAAACAACTACGACTTCGTGCTGCAACACAACAACACACAAACAAACATAAACACATAAACAAACGCAAACACACAAACAAACAAACACCTTCAAAACCTCATTAACACATACAAACACCATTTTAGCTATCTTTCTGAAGCATACGCACACACACTGCTCTCTTCACTTCTTTTTCTTCTTTTTCTTCTTTCTCTCTTTCTTCTTATCTCTCTGTCCCTCTCTCTTTTTCTCTCTCTCTCCCACACACACACACACACACACACATACAAACACACACATGCAACCTTTGTTACACAAATGGGTTATACGTTATTACCTAACATGCCATATAGCGTTATATAAGACAGCAAAAATTAATATTATGTCACACACACGCACACGCACACATACACACACACGCGCACACACACACACGCACACACAAGCACACACAAACACACACATACACACACATAATAATGTATTTATAAATAGTGAGTAACAATTATCATTAGTATTGATTCGTTTGATGTTTTCCAGTGGTCCTTAGTCGGTCTATCGGTCTAAGTGCGCAACGTGTGAATGATTGATTGATCGATGGATGGATGAGTAATAAGGATGAATGAATAAATGAGTCAATGAATGAATTAATGGTTAATGAATGAATGAATAAATAAATAAATAAATAAATAAATGAATGAATGAATGAATGAATGAATGAATGAATGAATGAATGAATGAATGAATGAATGAATGAATAAATGAATGAATGAATGAATGAATGAATGAATGAATGAATGAATGAATGAATGAATGAATGAATGAATGAATGAATGAATGAATGAATGAATGAATGAATGAATGAATGAATGAATGAATGAATGAATGAATGAATGAATGAATGAATGAATGAATGAATGAATGAATGAATGATAAATAAATGAATGAAAGAATGTATAAATACACATAATTAAATAACAACCAAAACGAACGAACGTACAAACGAACGAACGATCGAACGAACGAACGAATGAATGAATGAATAAATAAATAAATGAATGAGTAAATGAATGATTAATAAATAAATGAAAGAATGTATAAATACACATAATTAAATAACAACCAAAACGATCAAACGGATGGGTGAACAAATGAAGTAAATTGGAAAATAAATTGAATTATATTATATCCGAAGCCAAAAATTAGATTGTCATACAGGTATGTATGTATGTGTATGTGACATATGTGTGTGTGTGTGTGTGTGTGTGTGTGTTGAGGACAAATTTCAAATATGTTGCTTTGAAAATCTTTTGAAATTGAAATAACGGTATCTATCTCTCTATCTACTATAATTATACATTAAATTGATAAATACCAACCGACCTATTCTTTCTCTCTCTCTCTCTTTCTCATTCTCTCTCTCATTCTCTCTCTCTCTCTCTCTCTCTCTTTCTCTATTTCTTTTTAATTTTTAAATATTAAAAAAATATTAATAAATAAATTTAAATTAAGTTAATATTTTTGACGATTATAAGAAAATTTAGTAAACAAAAACAAACAAAAAGTAAATAAAAAAATAAAAATAAACAACATGCGGACGATGAACAATCATTCATTCCGTAGTCAATTGGATATCATTTGGATATCATGTGGATATCATTGTGTCTATTATTATTATTATTAGTGTTGTTATTATTATAATTATTGTTGTTGTTGTTAGTTAGTTAGTTAGTTATGTTATTATTAATGTTGTTTTTGATCATTCAGTTTTGTAATCAAGCTTTCTTCTATTTTATTTTTTTTTCTAAAATAAAAAACTACATTTTGAAGTACTGACGATAATGTTTTTAATTTTTCAGCTATATTCTCTTAGTTGAAATTGAAGTTTAAAAATGAATTTCAACTCACTCTGGGGCGTCAACAAAGTAAAGAACCACACTGAAACGTGTAAATATTAAATACGCATTTTTTTATAAACCAACCAACCAGCCAACCAGCCAACCAGCCAGCCAACCAACCAACCAACCAACCAACTAACCAACCAACCAACCAACCAACCAACCAACCAACCAACCAACCAACCAACCAACCAACCAGCCAACCAACCAACCAACCAACCAGCTAACCAGCCAGCCAACCAACCAACCAACCAACCAATCATACAGCTACATTTAATCCATATCACGGGACCACACTAACAAAAGTGGCAATCATCTGGCTGATCATCTTTTCGGCCATTCTGATTTCCAGCTGTTTTGGACTCTGCCTCGGTCTCTTCATCAAGAAAAAAAGTATGCGAAAAATAATTTTTTGTTGAAAAAATAAGTTCAATATTATTAGTAATCTTAAAATCATTTACAATTTTAAACTAAAAATTTTAGTTCTACAATTCTAAACTAAAAATTATTAATAATCTTAAAATCATTTACAATTCTAAACTAAAAATGAATAATATTTTTTTAAATTTTTATGAAAATTATGACAAATTTTAGTCTTGTTTATCAAATTTTGTACAAATAATTTCATCATTTATCCGTTCATTCACCATTCATCAAATTATTTTTTCCACGATATTCCGATTAACTCAAAACTACACCAACTCACCTACCTACCTACCTACCAAACAATCACCCACTCAACATCTGCCAACTAAATTTCCAAATTGTCCGATGAATGAACTTCCAAATTGTCTCCTGCCGACAAAGTGGAAGACGGTTCAAAAAGCAGCGGCTGCAAACGGAAGAAGAAGGACGTCGTCATCAGCGGTGAAGTCAACAAAGTTTCCTTGCTGTCCAGAGAGGAGGCGAATGACAACCAAGCCACATGGGAAACAATGAGAGCATTGCCTGAATCCGTTTACCACAATGCCAACGAACTTCCAACTAAAAAGTTAAGAACATCTTTTCAACCAGCAAAAAACCAACCAACAATTATAACTAAACCTAAGACCAAAAAGTTATATGTCAAACAAGTGACAATCGATCATGCAAATAAAGACAATGAGTTAATAGTCGTTGAACCGGTAAGGCGGCAACCATCCACCAATCGACCACCACCAACGACACAGCCAACAGCCAATCAGCCACCAGCAACGACACAGCCAACAGCCAATCAGCCACCAACAAATGACAAACAAATTTTTAGACAGATAAGTAATGAACTACAGCAAACTAACACAAACCAACGGGAAATTCTCCCAAGCAACCAGAACATAACCTCAATAATGGAAGCAACAGGATCGGGACCGAAAATAACCGAATCAAAAAATTTATACGATGAAATATCAAAACCGGACGCTACCCCATCTTGGAATTTATACGATTCAACCAACCATGTAACTGGCGAGTTGGTCAAATCAAGCAGTTTATCCTTGGAAAACCGAAGCCTATTAACCATTTCTAGGACAAAGTCTGATACGGTTTTAGACGGCAAGTCGGTTTTTTTCGCGAGTGCAGTGACGTCACATGTAGTCGCTGTCACGTGATTTTTTAGCGTTTAATATTTTAATTTTAAGTTTTTTAAACATTTTATAATTAAAAGTAAATATTATTTTCGCATACTTATAAATATATACACATATTAAAATTTTAATTAAGAATGAAAGAAATTTCACAAATATAAAACTGTTTCCTTTTTGTGCTATTTAAAATACGCCATATAAAAATTACGAAACACTTGAACTATCCATTTTTTTAGCTCAATCATCTTCATCGTTATTATCATTCATCTGTTGCATCATCATTGTCCTTATCATTCATCATTTCTTCACCATCATTTTGTCATCATTCATCAAACTTTCTCACATTTCACCGTCCAGACCATCATCCTCATTAACGCCATCATCATTATCATCATCATCTTCTTCTTTATCATCATTATCATCATCTTCTTCTTTTTGTTCTTTTCATATTATCATTATCAGCTTCATCATCCTCATCCTAATCCACCAACGCAAATCCCTGGAACGTGGATGTTCAGTCGGAATGGCTTCGTACTATTTTTTTACCGCGTACGTTTATCAATGATGCTGATGATGATGACGTTGTCGTTGATGATGATGATGATGATGGTAGTAGTGGTGGTGGTGTGGATGGTGATGTGGATGGTGATGTGGATGTTTTAGAAGAGGGTGACGATTCTAATTGCTATCGAATAAACAAAAATTAATAAAAAAAAACTCATTTGTATAATGACGATTGATAATGATGAAAATACTAAAATTAGTGAAAAATACTAAAAATAATGATAATGATGAAGATTGTGACGTCATAACAAAACAAAGATGGCGATAAAGGTGAAGACGGCGACGACGACGACGACGATGATGATGAAACTGTTAATGGCTATTGGCATGCATTGATTATCATTATTGTGTCGCACGCTGTGGCTGTCGGTGCTGATGATGATGATGGTAGTGCTAGTGGTGGTGGTGGCTTTAATGAGTCTGATGACAATGGGAATGATGATGAAGATGATGATGGTGATGATGATGATGACGGTGATGATGATGGTGTAAGTGATGATAAAGATGACGATGGTGATGATGATGAAAGTGATGATAACGATAATTACGATAGAGATTTTGACGAAAATAGTGGTGACGATAATGATGACAATGATGAAATATCATAGTAATGATTATTTGTGAGTAAAATAATGATCGGTTTGCGACTGATGATAATGATGATAACCTGATTTTTAATGTGAAGAATGATGAGTGAGTGAATCAGTTTCGTATTTCTTCATACAATCATCAATATCATCATTATTTTATTATTATTTTCATCAATCCTTTTATCATCATAATCATCACAATTATCTCCATCATCGTTATCATCATCGTCATCGTTTTCTTTGGAAAGTCAAGCGGTCAACGATTTTTACTTGGCGGGCGGTGACGAGAGTAGGTGGGAGTAATTACGCATGATGATGATGATGATGATGATGATGATGATGATGATGATGACGATGGTGATGATGATGATGATGACGATGGTGATGATGATGATGATGATGACGATGGTAATGATGATGATGACGAAAATAAAAACAATAACAAAAACGGAAATGATGATGATGATACTGCTGCCTCTGCTGCTGTTGATGATGAATGATGATGGCGATGAGGATGATGATGGCGATGAGGATGATGATGGCAATGATGATGATGATGATGTCAATGATGATGCTGATGAAGGTACTGATGATGACGACGACGAAGATGATGACGGCTTGGAGGATGTTGATGATGATGACAATAACGTAAAACCGGTCCGGATAGAGCTGACGATGAATGATAAAAACGACATTAAAAAAAAAGAAAAAAAATCACATTAAACAAGAGCGTATATTATACAGAAAGAAAGAGAGAGGGAGAGAGAGAAGGAGCAATAAAGAGAGAGAGAGAGATAAAGTGAGAGAGAGAAAAGAAAGAAAACAGCACGATAACGATAAAAATCTGTTTAGCACATAAACTAAATATGTGTTAGCAGATAGGTGGATAGCTAGGTTCGTAAATTATATTATCGCCTGTAGTATATGATGTATTTCAATGATCGCATGCATATCTGACACACATATGTGCGGATTAATAAATATTATAACATAATATAATAAAACCTAATATAATATAATAAAAAATGGAAACCAATGATCAACTAAATCATAATTAAAAAATAATCTTGCTAGTGATCTTATATAAAACCATAGACACAAACCGCTAATAAATCTTCTATTTATCGCAATTTTAGTTCTATAAAATGGATTATAAAGAAGTCGAACATAATATGTTTTGAAGTAAGAGAGAGAAAGAGAGAAAAAAAGAGAGAAAGAGAGACAGACCAGGCAGAAAGACAGACCAGGCAGAAAGACAGACAGACAAAAATAGACGTACACACACGTGTACAGATAAGTACGTAAGTCAGATTTGTTTTTTCTTTATATAGGGTAATTATAAAAGTATTAACTAAAACGGTTTGCACCTCTAAATGTAATAATAATAATAATTATAAGAAGAAGAAGAAGAAGAAGAAAAAAAAGAACAAGAATGAATGAATTCTCTTTTATTTTCGAAAAAAACATACAATCAATGGAAATAACATGTTTTGGTAGTCTATAATAAAGTAAGGTAAAAATAATAATAATAATAACAACAACAACAACAATAATAATAATGATAATAGTAATAATAGCAGTGAAATGAAAGCAGTTGGTTAATCAGATACTATTCTTCTTCTCGCCGTATCGCATTTCTTCACGACCACGAGCCATCGTCAGCAAGCGAGGAAGAGTTTCGTGTGCTTTGCCCGAGGTTACGAATATTAAATAAACTGTCAAAACTATCATCACGTTGAAACAATGAAAACAACAAAAACAACAACAACGCAAACAACAAATATAAACAACATCAGCAACCACAACTACCACAACTACCATTACTATTACTACTACTACTGCTGATACAACTACTACGGGTCTCTGAATGAAGATCATTCAACAAATCTACAATACAATACTACTTCTACAACAACAACATCTACTACTACTACCACTACTATAACTACTGCTACTACTACGATGACGACTATTACTACCACTATTACTACTACTACTATTACTTCTACTACAACTACAAGAGCATCATTGTCAAAATGACGGTGATGACAACAACATTGTTATAGATTACTAAATAAAAAAAAATTCAGTTTCAATTCATTTAAAAGTCGTTTCAACTCATACAATATTATGAAAATTTTATGAAGGTATTGAGTTGTTTGTTTGTGTGTGTGTGTGGTGTGTGTGTGTGGTGTGTGTGTGTGTGTGGTGTGTGTGTGGTGTGTGTGTGGTGTGTGTGTGGTGTGTGTGTGGTGTGTGTGTGGTGTGTGTGTGTGTGTCCGTAACACATTTTACCTGGTTGTTAGTTAGAGATGGCAGTTGAGACAATGTACAGACGACAGACGCGAGGTACGAAAGAAACCTGATAGGTCACACCACATCACACCACACACGTGACTACATCAACAGTTTGTGAATTTGTCATAAGGAGGAACTGAATGTTCATATTCTCCCACTAACTTGACATTTATTCATTTGTTTATTGATGTTTTAATATCTTACACTAAGATATTTTCACATAGTAAATTTTTTAGTTTATAGTCATCGATTTTTACGATCTTTTGTTTGTTTTGGCTCGTTGTTATGTTGATGTTTGTTGTTTACATTTATTCGGTTACATTTTGTATTTAACTAAAACACATCCGTACATTAGAAATTACTTCAAGTGCATCTTTTGTTTGGAGAAATATATACGGAGGAACTGACACACGGCGAACGAATTTTAAAATGTTTCTTTCGGATGATGAAAATTCTTTTTTAGAATAAAATATGTTGCAGCCAGAAAGGACCTAGCCGTGGGAAAGCTTTATGGCTGAACCCCCTTCGAAGATATTTTTGCTAGGGTGAAAATCAAATTTAACAAAATCTCGACACAAATTTTGCGAAATTTAGTTTCAAATTGTTGCATCTCCTTATAAAACAGAAATTGTTTTGTCAAGTTTGAAAAAAATAGATGCAGAGAGAAAGAGAGAGAGAGAAAGAGAGAAACAAAGAGAGGAAAATAAATTAGATCAAGAGTAAAAATAGAGATGCGAGCAAAAAAATAGCTAACAAAAAAAACGAAAAAACGAACATTTATTACACTGACTCACTTCAAATACAGTTCCGAAAAGATGTGTAAGGCAGAGGGAGAGAGAGAGAGAGAGAGAGAGAGAGAGAGAGAGAGAGAGAAGAAGGAGAAAAAGAGAAAGATTAAAAAAAGTGAAAAAGTAATGAAGATATTAGATCGAAAAATAAAAAAATAGAGACATTGTTCTGAAAGGATAAGGCACGAGTAAGAAGAAGAATAAGAGGCATATATTGAGAAGAACAAAAAAGAATACAAATAGAGATAAATAGAAAAAGAGAGAAAGAAATAAAAAAAAATAGAAAGAAAGAAGAAGAAGAAGAGAGAGAGAGAGAGAGAGGGAGAGAAGAAGGAGAAAAAGAGAAAGATTAAAAAAAGTGAAAAAGTAATGAAGATATAAGATCGAAAAATAAAAAAATAGAGACATTGTTCTGAAAGGATAAGGCACGAGTAAGAAGAAGAATAAGAGGCATATATTGAGAAGAACAAAAAAGAATACAAATAGAGATAAATAGAAAAAGAGAGAAAGAAATAAAAAAAAATAGAAAGAAAGAAGAAGAAGAAGAGAGAGAGAGAGAGAGAGGGAGAGAAAGAGTAAAGATACTAAATACACCCAAGAACATCAACAACAACGCCGTCAGTATCTCCTTACCGACAGTTTTGAGAGGGAAAGAAAACATTTCCCTTTTTTTGCAATCATGAAGCAAAAAAACTCAACAACCACCCCTTTTCTAACGCTCAACTAGAAAGCACTTGTTCTTATTTATTTATTTAAAAATTTACCAGTCATCAATTATTTCTAT